CACAACCCAAATTTCAGGGGTAAATTTTGGGGGGCATAGAGAACACACAACCCAAATTTTGGCGGGGGGGCACAGAGAACACACAGCGCAAATTTGGGGGGGGGGCACAGAGAATACACAAACCAAATTTTGAGGGGCAAATTTGGGGCACACAGCCCAAATTTTGAGGGGGGCACAGAGAAGACAAAACCTAAATTTTGAGGGGTAAATTTTGGGGGGCACAGAGAACACGCTGCCCAAAATTTGGGAGGCACAGAGGACACACAACCCAAATTATTTGGGGCACAGAGAACACACAGACAAAATTTGGGGGGGCGCAGAGAACACACAATGAAAATTTTAGGGGTAAATTTTGGGGGGGAGGGGCACAGAGAACCCACAACCCAAATTTTGAGGGGCAAATTTGGGGGCACACAGCCCAAATTTTGGGGGGCGAGGTGTCATCACCCCCAACCTCCCACAGGAAGATCAGCCCTGGAGAAGGCTGGAAGGAAAACGGGGTGGGGAAGGGGGGGGGGTCGCACCCCAAATTCGTGCCCACCCCCCCCAAAAGCCCGCAGCGAGGGCCACCCCCGCACCCCGGGGTGGGGTGGGGACACCGGGGGTGCCCCGCGGGGCCGGTGACGCCGGCACGGCCCGGCCCGGCCCTCCCGGAAACCTTCCCCGAGCAGCGGGACCGGCTCGGCCCGTCCCGACCCCCCCGGGGTGGCGACAGAGCGCGACCACCCCCCAAAAAAAAAAAATTCCCAAAAAACCAGCCGGGAAATGGAAAGGGAGGAAGCGCTGTCGGTGGGGATGGGGGGGGGTCGCTCGCCACCTAACCCCCCCCCCCGTGGCCACACGGTTCTCCCCCGGTTCTCCCCGGTTCTCCCCCAATACCGGGGGTCGCTGCCCGAGCCCGGGACCCCCCCCCGGAGCGGCCGGACCCCCCCCCGAGCACGCAGACAAAGGCTCGGCGCTGGCGCCATATTGGCCGTGTCACTGTTGTTGTTGTGAGGCCGCGGGGGGGGCGCGCCGGGACCCCCCCCCACAAAGGAAGACACCGGGACCCCTCCCCCGTTCTCCCCCCCACCCATGAAAACGAGGGGTTGTGGAGTTGGGGGAGGGGGGGACATGGAAATGGGGGGGAGGGGGGGGCTGGGTCCCCTCCCCCACCACGAGGTTTGGGATGTGCAGGACCCCCCCCAAAATCCACCTCCCACCCCCCCAATATCCCTAAAAAGCCCCCCCGCCGTGTGGATTTAGCCCCCCAAATTTGGGTCACCCCCACCCCCCCAAATTCATAAATCTCCCGCCCCCCCCGGGTTATTTCCTACCCCCCCCCAGGATGCAGCAGGAGCATGGGGGGGGTGAATTACTGCCCTGGTGAGGTTCATTCCACCCCCCAAAATTAGTAATTACTCCTGGGGGGGCGGGGAGGGGGGGTCATTAACTCATTAACCCCCTCCCCCACCAAAAAAAAGGACAAATTGCTCCGGTGGGAAAGGAATTAAGGAATTAACCCCCCCCCCCCCCAAACTGGTATCGTGCCACCCCATGGGGGCGATCACAACACAAAATAATAAAAGCGATTATCCCCCGAAATAGAAAATATCCCCCCACCCCCAGGGGAGACAAACCCCCCCAAAAACGGGGGGAGGGGGCAGTTCCCACCCCCCCAAATTTAGAAATGACCCCACCAAAGGGACAACCTATGGTGGTGGTGGGGGGCACGTACTCCAAACCCCACACCCGAGGGAGGGGAGAGCCCCCAAATTCCCCCTCTCCCCCACAGGACGGGGGGTCCCCAAACCCCCCCCCCCCAAAAACACTCACGGCCGGGGGTCGGATTTTGCAGATCCCGCTTTTCTCGGCGATCGGGCGGATCTTGGCGATGTAACCCAGGGGGTCGCTGAACTCGGCCCAGCTGGGCTCGAACACGGGACATTCCGGCGGGGGCAAAAAGTCCTCGGGGGGCTCCGCTTCTCCCGGCGGCCACGGCGACGACCCCCACTCCCCGCGGGGACCCCCGAGGGGCCGCCGGGCCTTGCTGTCCTCGGCGCCGGGCCGCTCCCCGCCGCGGGCCCCGCGCTCCTCCGCCGCTTTGCGGGGGCTCCGCTCCTCGCCCGGGGGGCGCCCCCCGGGGCCTTTCCCCGGTCCCCCCCCGCCCTTACCCCGCGGTTCGCCCCCGGCCCGGGGCGGGCGCGGGGCGCTCGCGGCCTTCTCGTCCGCGGCCGCTTTGGGGGGCGCTGCCGCCGGCCGGGGGGGTCCCGCGTCCCCGGAGGGCTCCGGGCCCCCCCAGTCCGCGCCGCGGCCCCGCTTGGGCTCCTCGTCCCCGTCGGGCGGCGGCGGGGGGACCCACGGCGGGGATCCCCCCGGGCCGGGCCCCCACTCGGCCCAGCCGGTCCCTGCGCGCTGCTGCTCCTCCTCCTCCATCCCTCGCACCGAGGGGAGCCGGGGGGGGTTCCCGGGCTGCCCGCCGGGACCCCCTCAGGGGGCCATGGAGGCCCCGCCGCCCCCGCGCCGCCCCCTCACAGGCCGCGGGCCGCCTCCCCCCCCACCCCGACTCCAACCGCGGGGAAACGGGGGGGTCAGGACAGCGCCCGCGAGCTCCGCCGAGCCGCCGGCCCCTCCGCGGTCCCTCCGCCGCCCCACCGGCCCGTCCAGCCCCGCCGCCCCGCGCTCCGGCCGCCTCACAGCCGAGGCCTGCCCGGTCCCCCCGGCCGGGCCGCCGCCGCCATCTTGGGTCCTCCTCCTCCTGCCGCCCGCCCCCCGCCCGCGCGCACGCGCGCACTGCGCAGGCGCGGCCGCGCACGCCGTCCCGAGCGGTGTGGTGAGGCCGCGTGTCCTTCCGCCGCGGGAACGGGACGGGCGCCGAGCGCCGCCACAGCGCCGCGAGCGCCGGCGAGAGCGGGAACAGAGAGAGGCGGGAACAGCACCGGAGCCTCCCTGCCGCGGTCCGGGTGGCGGGAGGCGGTGTGGCGGGATGAAGGACGGGAAATAGTCCTCCAGGCTCCGCCCCCCCCGCGGCGGAGGGATCCGCGGCACCGCTCGCCTCCGCGGCTGGGTCAGCGCAGGGGCCGGGACTTGATGTGCACGTTTAAAGGGACGCACGGCGCATGCGCGCCCGGCGGCAGCGGGGAGGGCGGGGTGAGGCCGAGGGGCGGGGCTTGTGACGTCATGCTCCTTTACGCCACGCCCTCCCCGAAGACCCCCATGGACCCTAAAGACCCCTATGGACCCTTATGGACCCTATAGACCCCATATAGACCCCTATGGACCCCCAGGGACCCTCATGGACCCTATAGAGCCCCATGGACCCCTATGGACCCTTAGGGACCCTATA